GATTTATAACAAATGGTTACAAAACTTTCACTATTAATAAACATTACTGCTTTATACGTTTACCTCTTCACTCGTTGGCGGTGATGAAAGGGAATCTGATGATCTTGTTATTTTGCTGGAGGTTGCACTCCCAGGGTTTTTTGACCCTAATGGCCATCTGTTGTTAAGGTCTTATTTGAACACAAAAACAATGATTTAGGTGTCTACTGCCCCCTATCCCCAGGGAAAATACACACCGTCTCTTTAAAGCCTCTCTCCACCTTGGATGTGCAGCGTGCGATTGGTACCTCCAGCAACATCTGACCAGCTGACCTAAGTGAACTGGACTGTAAATAAGGTTTAAGAGGTCTGAAAGATACGTAGGTGCAGAGCCATTGAGCAATTTAAAAACCATTAAGAGAATTTTAAAATTAATCCTAAAATGCGTGCAAGCTAAGATTGGTGTGATGTGCTCAGACCTCTTAGTGAGAAAGAAAAGAAAGAAAAAGCCTCTCAAGATAAAAATCACGAGGCTCTTCACAAAAACAATCAATTTAAAATGTAAAAATCTTTTAAAGATATTACTAAAAATATATATTTCAAATGTAAGGAAAGGGAGAGAGAAAATTTACAGGAAAGAGGGAAATCAGTGGATCCTGGAAAAGGAGGAATAAAAGCAGAACAAGGAGAGGGTGATGAAGGTCCCACCAAAACCTGAACAGGTGAGTTTAAAGGAGACCACTGGGTCCACTGATCTCAGGCTCAGGGGGAGAGAGGTCCAGAGTCTGGGGACCACAGCAGCAGATGATCTGTCACCTTTGACCTTTAGCCTGGTGCTGCACAACCAGTAGGCTTTGGTCACTGGACCTCAGGGACCTGCTGGGGGTGTAGGGATTGAGAAGATCACCAATGTAAGATGGTGCTTGTCCATGTAAGGCCCTATAGACCAGAACCAGGATCTTGAAATGAACCCTGAAGTTGACTGGCAGCCAGTGAAGCTGGAGGAGAAGCGGGGTGATGTGGGTGTGTTTGGAGGACTTGGTCAGAAGCCGAGCACAGGCATTCTGAACCACCTGTAGACGGTTCAGGGAGGTTCTGCTCAGACACGTGAAAAGAGAGTTACAGTAGTCTAAGTGTGAGGAGATGAAGGTGTGGAGAACTGTCTCAAGTTCAGAGCGGGACAGAATGGGACTCAGCTTAGCAACGTTCCTGAGATGGAAGTAGGAAGAGCGAACAAGAGAACTGGCATGAGAATCCAGGGTGAGAGCTGGGTCAAAGGTCACGCCAAGGTTCCTGACGGATGGTTTGGTGTGAGTTTTGGTACGGTCAGTCCTCGTTAGAAACCGTGAAGCAGCATTCTGCACCAGCTGGAGGCTGGGAGACCAGTAGTCCAGCCTAGATGTGACACAGGCAGAGACTACAGTCTCAAGGCAGCTACTTGGGAGAAACTGTTAGATACTTCTGAGGTACCTCATAAAACATGATCTCCTGACTGCATGGACCTGACTGTTCAATTTCAGTCGGGGTCCATCTTAACCCCCCAGGTTTGAAATGAGAGACTTTGCAAAAGGTGTGAAGGAGGGCAAGTCACTGTCAGATAACTCATGAGGAGCATTAGACCCATAGAACATGACCTCTGTCTATCATCGTTAAGCCCCAACAAACTCAATGCCATCCAGCTCCTAATGTCCCTTGCGCTGGTATAAGATCACCTCTTCCAGGACTTCAGACAGAAAGGGAGTTAGATACAGGTCTAAAACGAGCCAGCATCAGAAGCGTGTGGACAGCCGCATGTTCGAAACTATCGAAGACCGAGCCTGAGGCTGAACTATCACTTCTAATATGCAGACCTGCAGGACTCAGCGACAGAAACACATCCTTAACGAGGCGAGGGGATCGGACTGCATCTGGGGAGCCCGAGGGTTTCACGCTGGTGACCAGGTTTACTCGGAAAAGCAATTTAGTCATTTATGTATTAAAGTCTATCACCCATGATGTTCTTTTAGCTTTACAAAATGTTCTATTTTACAGCAACTTTTGATCATTTGTATCCTAAACTACGAGGCATTTAAAGAAGTCATAAGCAAATAAGTGTTAATCAAGGGCGTCAGTTTGTTTTCAGAATTGCTGGGGACAATAGCCATACACTTGAGTGGGGCTTAAAAATTGCTGGGGACAATAAAGTAGGCTAGCACAGGGGTCGGCAACCCGCGGCTCTGGAGCCGCATGCGGCTCTCTGTGCTTGTAAAATAATGACTGGATATTTAAATAAAATGCTTTATATTTTACTGCATTAATTTTACATCTGTATGCCAATTCTAAATGTAAAGATTGTCTGCGTAAACCTGAACAGGTCCAACCCGGTCTGTGAGACCGGGTTGACGCGTCACGCTTGTGCGTAATCATATGCGCTTCTGAGCTGCTTTGTGACCTTCCTCACCTACAAAGTTTAATTACAACAATCAAACGTGACAGAGCCTGGATTTGTATTCTGAACAGCCTAAACATGTTTTAAAAAGAAACGTATGACAAAAGTGGCACCTGCTCAGTAAAACCACCAACAGGGTGAATATTGAAGCCAGAGACGGGCTACAGCTTCTGGATCCACTTTATTTAATCGTTTTATTGATTATCTTTTTATGAAAGATAACTTTGACGTACAGGAGCGACCAGGCGCGTTGCAAGCTTTTCAAAAGTGTTGGGGATGTTGTCTGTGCTTAAAATAATTTCATGTTATTCATCTTGTTAGTTTAATTTCCATAATAGCGGAGCAGGTGCGAATTTTAGACGCTTCACGCACGTCTCCGTTTTAAACATGTTTAAACTGTTCAGAATACAAATCCAGGATCTGTCTCGTTAGATCGGTGTAACTAAAGTTTGTACTGAATGAAACTTTACATTAAACCATGTTGAAAAGAAAAGGATCCGATTAAATAGTTTCCCCCCTCATTTACAGTGACGGACTACAGCGCAGTGCGCGTGGCTCTGGGGTTAATCAAGTTTAGTTGTTTCTCTTTGCAACAATCTTCACAAGAAGGCAAAACAGTTAAATGGCAGGTTACAGATATTTCCATTTGACTGTTTATTTTGACGGATAAACTCAAGGATGTTGGTTGATTTCCTCCCACTGAAGCGGTCTGGAAACCCAGTCTCTCTGAGGGATGTGTCACTTGGAAAAATGTTATTTTTATGAAATTATGAAAGTTTGGATGTGTCACTTGGAAAAATGTTATTTTTATGAAATTATGAAAGTTTGGCTGAATAGCGCTTGTTCCCGTCTCTAATATGGAGACGCATGACGCATCCAGTCGCCTCTTCAGCTCAGAAAGCTCCTGCAGAGACATTTGATCACGCACAAAGTTTATGTGGAGCAGAAGCGGTCGGGCTACGGCAGGTGAAATGTTCCTAGCCTACATGAAGTGAAACTGTTTAATTGTAACATTAATGTGTTACTGGACACGCTGGTCTGGTTGGTTAGACCAGTGTTTGAAGTGGAAAACACACACACACACACACACACACACACACACACACACACACACACACACACACACACACACACACAACAATTAAAATAATGCTGATAGCGTGGACTAGAAGACAGGTGATGGTTTATGTATTTAAATGATGATCAGGCTGCTGTAAAATGTAATCTCCATCCACATCCAGACACAATTATCCTCTATTCTTTCTCTAGTTGCTCTGCTCTTGTCTGGGCTGATCAGCTGACAGTGCGCGCGGTGCGCCTAGTGGCTGTGATGCACATTTTACGCATTTGGAGAGGTGGGCCGGATGCTTTTCTTTTACTGGAAGATGGTCCACTTAACGCACGGGTGTAGACTAATTAATGACAAATGAATGAAAATTAAATTGTGAGTTTTTACTTCATATTTTATAAATAAAAATGACGGGAAAAACATTTATGACGTCTTTTTAAACGAAATTTTCTAGCGCGACCTGCCTGCTTCACTTAAGTCACTGCTTATTAAGGTCCGTCCAAAATTACCGTGGCCCACCCACAAATGAAAACCTGGCGCTGCGCCAGTTATAAACCTCTGCAAATTATTGTTCTTCACTTGATCAAACTCAGACTTTGTACAGCTAATGTCAAGATGTAAAATTATGAATTCAGTCGAGCTCTTCCGTCCCTCCCTCTCCTGCTCTCCTGGAAACCCGACATCGGTTGTCAGAAGTGGAGGTGAAGAAGGAGATGAGGCAAACAGAGTGAGTGCAACGTAAAGAAACCAGACTGGAGTGGAGGTGAGCAAAACAGCTGGAAAAGTGTGGGTGTTGAATCCCCCACGGGTGCGACGCCCATGGTACCGGCTGCTGTCACCTGGTTGTGAGCAGCTCTCTGCTGTCTGAGGGTAGGCCCCGCCCACAACGCTGCGCTGCTGTGGCTCCCAGTGTTTTCTTTACTGTGGGAAACGGGTAATAATGGCTCTTTGATGGGAACAGGTTGCCGACCCCTGGTAAAAGATCTGAGCTGGTAAAACAAAAATCCTCATCAGCAGGCTTTTTTGAAAGTGGGGGGGACACAGCTGCCTATCACAAATTTTGCCGGGGACATGTCCCCGGCGTCCCCGGTTAAAATGACGCCTATGTAGTTAATTCATTTGTTTTTAACCCCTTAGCATTCCAGCATCCCACCCAGGGCACAAAAGCCCACTGTATTCATTAAACCTGGACTTTTAAGGGTGAAGGCCTGAGAAAAACAACAGAACATCTAAACTACTGTCCCGTACTAACTCTAACTCTGCTCCTTCACCGGTGTCATGCAACTTTCCTAGCCTTTTATGTTTGTTTCTGGCAGCTAAAACATACGAGTTTCTACCTCTTCGTCCGTCTGCAACACGAGTGCGACCCTAAGCACAGATGTGTCTCACAAACGTGGTCCGGAGATTGTTCTACAACACTTTTAACACTTAAAACACTCACCCCATTTAAACTGCCCAAGTCCTTCACTTTATGCTCGTCTGCGTTCGGGTCGTAGTTGATGACAGCGTGCTGCTTGTCCACACTGCGAGACTAAAACATGAAAAATCCAATAAATGACTGCAATCCAGTCTAATCCTGCTGTTGAACCAGATCAAATGCAGAACTACAGCAGTGAGCTTAAATGTGATGGAGCTGAAGTACCTGCAGCATGAGTTCACAGTCGTCCCTCCCCACAAAGATCATCTCCCTGGGAAGACGATGACGCGTCCCCCCGCCGCTCACCAGAAACCAGGACGTCAGACTCATTTTGGTGTCACAAGGTCACCTTTGACCACTAATGTATTATCCTAGAAAGAAAAGTTAGAGAGTAAAATCACAATTGTTGTCTATCGTGGTTTTTGTGTTCTGGTTTCTGATTGGTGGTTGATGGCGACTTTATAGAATTAAACCTACGATACCTGAAGTTAAATCTAAACATGTAAACCCACATTCCATTATTCAAATCTGAATAGAAATGTGGCACGTTTAAGCCGAATGTTCATTTCCAGTTGCAAACAAAAACATGTTCATGAGACCTCCTATGGCAGTCACTGTGATGGTGGGGTTGCAGAAGTCTGTTTAGTTACGAATCATCTGTCAGGCTGCAGGGAGAACAGAAACACTGGACATGCTCCACAGATGAAGGCGGGGCAGGACATCCTTTCACCCTGCTTTTATTTTGGAAGGTGACATTTGTTTTACAGCAGTCAGAATTTGAGGTATGAATAAAAATTTAGTTTAAAACAGTCAAATTTAAATGCATATGTTTACATTTGGTTACAACAGGCTCTGTAATTAACCGTATAGCTTATGCATGTTGTTTTTCATCACTCCTCATGATGCCGTTAGCAGCAACAAGCGAAAAGTGTAACAATCAGGAAAGGCTCACAGAATTCCAGGCATCGTTTGGGACTTGCAAAGGGAAATCTTCAGCCGTGACCCCATGATCAGAAGGGTAAACAGAGCTATCGGTCACATGTGAAACATGCCCTCCCACATTTTCCAAAGTCCATTTCTGTCCTCTGCACTTTTTACCATCCAAAACCAACACTACGGTGTATTAAACAGACACTGGTGGAGCACTAGGACCAAGCAGGAATCAACAACCACTTGTGTTGAAGCCTGCTTCCTAGAACCGTCCAGAGAAGCTCATCTATTGGCTCTGCTGATGCTTGCTAACGTGTGATTGGCCGTTCCTGCCACCTGTGAACTTGACAGTCCTGCATTCCCGACATTGCATAAAAGTCTCTAGGCTGTTGTTTTATAGATGTTTTTGAGTCCTTACTGTAAAGACCCCCCCCCCCCCCCATGCCGGTAGCGTCCCCCCCACTTCTAAAGGCAAACTACGTCCATCATGGTTTCCGTTCAGCAGCCAAGCCTCATCCCTGCTGACTCACGCTCTGGAGGTGAACCGATGGGCTTCATCATTTCACACTTTCTGATATCCGAAGCATCCTTTTGTGCGTACGCTTCCTGGCGTTCCCAAAGGAACTCTGCATCTCCTTTGGGAGCCTGGCTCAGGTCTACAGTGACCCAGATTTACACACGAGACGCGTGCACGCACGGCATCGCCCACAGTGCCCTCCGGATGAATCCTGTGCGCTCGCAGCGGCTGGATGTTGGGTGAAGTCAGCCGATGGAGGAGCCTGGACACGAGCCCAGTTAGGCCATGACTCAGTCCAGAACCTCCTGGAACCGTCTGATACCGGTTCCGCCTCCATGTGAGGGGTCTATATTCGGATGCGACGTGTTACACACAGATAAGGTGCAAACACGCAGCTAATGAGCCTAATTACAGATGTGTAATCAGAAGCGCGCATTCTTTACGCACCTCTACAAGCAAACACAATCCAGACAGATTAAATCCTAATACCGGGTCTCAGGTGATTCTGAAGCGAGCATGTATTAAAGAGGCTCCTTGGTACGGACGCCGCCAGCAGACATTCACGCTGTTATTTCACCGCCTCCATCCTTAAAGCCGCAACACGAGCCGGAGGAGGACCGACAACACGAGCAGAGGAACACAAACGTCTCACCAACAGCCAGACGGTCAAGCAGCATCCGATGTGGAGGGTTTGAGCCGCGCTGATGCTCCTGGAGCCCGCTGCCCAGCCCAGCTTCCTCTGGCGCGTCTTCGCCTCCAGGTGGCGCTGCGCCCCAGGGAGAGAGCGGCGTTATGTAATATTAAAGGAGTCTGACGGCAAACCGTGAGTGGGTCATTTTATGGATGAGAGCGATGATTCATGGATAAATGGAACCCCACCAGGGTGTAATACGTTTAATAAATGTGGATCAATGTAATAAAACGCAAAAACACATCAAAGCTTCTCATAATTTTCATCACGTTAAACAAGGGATTATTTTTAATCCTGAAGATGATGCATTAACATTCAGCACATTCAAATTTGAGTGAATGGATCGGCTGATGAGAGATGCTGTTGAATGTGCTGAAGTGGAGGACGTGTTAGACCCGTCTGGCACACTGAGAGCTTTTCACCTCACTTCTGTTTGAGTTTATGCTAAAATGTCTTTTGTCAATTTAAGTTTTTTAAACAGCGCCGTCATCGTCTCAAGGATCTTCACACAGTAAACAGTACAGGTCAGGTCATTTAGCCAATCAGCAACAAGTTTCCCATATAAGAAACCCAGCAGGTTGCGTTGAGTCACTGACTAGTGTCAGAGTCTTTACAGCAATCCTCATACTAAGCAAGCATGCAGCGACAGTGGAGAGGAAAACTCCCTTTTAACAGGAAGAAACGACCAGAGGATCCTGGCTCAGTATAAGCAGCCGTCCATGAGGATGTTGGACAGAGCACGCACACGCACGCACACGCACGCACACACACACACACACACACACACACACACACACACACACACACACACACACACACACACACACACACACAAACACACACACACACACACACACACACACACACACACACACACACACACACACACACAGCTGTAACATCAGAGTCAGCAACACTTCTCACGGCCGCATTTGTTTAATTTAAGGTAGTCATGGCGAACTTTGCACGTCATTTGCCCCGCCCACATGCTCAGAGACTAAATATTCCTGAGAAGTGTGTGTGATCAAACCCTACTGGTGCGGGACCTGGAACAAAGCCGTCTGGACCACATTGGACAGGGCCAAATGTGGAAGCGACATTTGATATGCAATGTTGTTATTGTGTATGACCTGAGCAGGGGGAGCATGAAGAGAGTAAAAAGCAGTGGTCCAAGAATTGAGCCTTGGGGAACCCCACATGTAATGGTGATCTGCTTTGATTTGTGAACCCCAAAAGAAACAACATAACTCCTGTCTTTAATATAAGATCTGAACCAACTATGGACTGTGCCTGAAGGTCCCATCCAGGTTAAGAGCCTATCAGGAAGGACGTTGTGGTCCTCAGTATGAAAAGCTGCAGTGAGATGGAGCATCATCAGGACAGATGTTTTACCTGCATTTAGACAAATATAATTTAAAAGCTTCTTCAGTGCAGTCTCCGTGCTGTGGTGTTGTCTAAAGCCTGCTGGAAGCTATAGCAGGTCGTTCAGCTGGATCATAACAGCTGTTTTAATTATTTCCCATGAAAGGAAGATTAGAGATTGGTCTGTAGGTATTCATCACTGAGGGATCTACTTTTTTTTTCTTTAGAAGAGGTGTTACAGCAGCAGTTTTCAGTGATTTAGGAAAAACCCCTGACATGAAGGAACAGTTAACCATTTTCATTACCTCAGTTTTCAAGCAGCAAAAACATTTTCAAAGGAGTTAGTTGGCAGCATGTGCAGACAGCAGGTGGATGAGTTTCAGGTCTTTACTATGTTCTCCAGGGTTTTAGGGTTAGGGTTAGGTCATCAGCTGATCACACTGAAAGCTGTGTTCTAGCCAGACTGTTGCTGTGGTCCGTTAGTGTTGGTGTGGAGGACTGAATGAATCTGATGTTTATTATCTTCTCGTTGAAAATGGATACAAACTCATGACACTTGGCTTGGAAAATGAAATTACAGTCTGAAATGCTTAAAGGTGAGGTATGTAAGAACAAAGTTAGAATGACATCTTGTGGTGTAATTAGGTTACTGCAGTCCATTTTTCCACACAAAAATATCACTCACTCACTGCTGTTCCGTGAGTTTCCGGCTGTTCCCGGATAGAGGATGCTCTCCGTATTTACTTATTTAGATTTCTCATGAACGCTGAAGTGTGTGGTAACTTACTGGTATATCATTATGATAATTGAGCTGGTATGATTATAATGAGCTCCTGGAGTTTGTTGTTGTTGGGTGTGTGTGTGTGGTGATGGGGATGGGGGTGTTTTGTAAAATATTTGTAATGAAATTGGAAGAGACCTCAGGAAGAATAGCTCCACACTATGGTGGGAGGTAATGAGGTTCTCTATAAAAATAAATAAATAAATAAATAAATAATAGAAATCAGTACCCGAAGACAGGCTGACAGGCAAAGATGAGTCACACACAGCAAATAGAGTACATAGTCATATCTGGTGCTAGCAGCCCTTTTACGGTAGGGAGCACTTACTGCACTTATTACAGTAATATGCCTCAAGCATCACGGGAAGTGGTTCCATGCTTTCTGGCTGTGAGCTTGTTGTTATAGTTCTGAATGACTCATTAGAGAAGGTAATACACCATGGCCGTTCCTCAATACTCAAGTACGCTAGTACGTTCTTGTGTACTAGACAAGAACGTTCTTGTGTACTAGACAAGTATGTCCTTGTGTACAAGACAAGTTCGTTCTTGTGTTTACTAGACAAGTATGTCCTTGTGTACTAGACAAGAACGTTCTTGTGTACTAGACAAGTATGTCCTTGTGTACAAGACAAGTTCGTTCTTGTGTTTACTAGACAAGTATGTCCTTGTGTACTAGACAAGAACGTTCTTGTGTACTAGACAAGTATGTCCTTGTGTACTAGACAAGAACGTTCTTGTTTACTAGACAAGTATGTCCTTGTGTACAAGACAAGTTCGTTCTTGTGTTTACTAGACAAGTATGTCCTTGTGTACTAGACAAGTACGTTCTTGTGTACTAGACAAGTATGTCCTTGTGTACAAGTCAAGTTCGTTCTTGTGTGTACTAGACAAGTATGTCCTTGTGTACTAGACAAGTATGTTCTTGTGTATACTAGACAAGTACGTTCTTGTGTACTAGACAAGTACGTTCTTGTGTACTAGACAAGTATGTCCTTGTGTACTAGACAAGTATGTTCTTGTGTGTATACTAGACAAGTACATTCTTGTGTACTAGACAAGTACGTCCTTGTATACTAGACAAGTACGTTCTTGTGTACTAGACAAGTACGTTCTTGTGTAATAGACAAGTACGTTCTTGTGTACTAGACAAGTATGTTCTTGTGTACTAGACAAGTATGTTCTTGTGTGTGCTAGACAAGTAAGTTCTTGTGTACTAGCCAAGTACGTCCTTGTGTATACTAGACAAGTACATTCTTGTGTACTAGACAAGTACGTTCTTGTGTACTAGACAAGTACGTTCTTGTGTACTAGACAAGTACGTTCTTGTGTATACTAGACAAGTAAGTTCTTGTGTATACTAGACAAGTAAGTTCTTGTGTATACTAGACAAGTACGTCCTTGTGTATACTAGACAAGTACGTTCTTGTGTACTAGACAAGTACATTCTTGGCAAGGACTCCAGACAGTCTGTTCTACGAAGTATGGGAGGACAAGGAACATTTGGAACAGAACCGTACTCCGCTGTGTTCTGGCAACCTGCGCTGCTTCCCGCTACAGAAAAAACAAACAAACAAAAAAAAAAAAAAACGGCCTGACATTAAAATAAAAGTCTAGTTTGTTCCTTAAATAACAAAATAACAACAAAAACATATTATTTGTATTATATTTGTCCTACTTATGATCAAAACTAGCATTTCCCGCTCTTTAATGAATAAAAAAAAACTATTTTTCATCAGAACAGAGCTACGGTGCTTTTATTTTGATAGTGGGTTAGCTAATTAGCATTTTGAAGGATTGTGAAGAGTAAAACTCAAACACACACAGCCAAATTTACAGTTTACACACAATTATTTACAATAACAGACAACTTTATGTTATTCTATTCACATTTCTAATATAAAACATTACAGTTGTAAGCTCTCTCCTTTAACGTTCGGAGTTTAACGGTTTGTGACGCAATGCATTATGGGAAACTTTGCTGTCCCGAGTCCACAGAAGGATGTGTTGATGCGTCGTTGATACACTGGTTGGAGCGAAAAGACATCCAGGAGCTTTGAGCGAACTTGCCATTATGCATACTTAGAACTGGAACCATCGCTGATGAATTTTATGTTTTTTATTTAGCAGACGCTTTTGTTCAAGCAACTTACAGTTGATGATCAAGCCAGCAGGTTGCCTTTAAGGCTAACAACAAACACTAATCAGTCAACATGGTGTCTCACAACGACGTGAGTACACAAGTTCTGACAAGCAGCATATTGAGAAACAACCCATGATTCACTCACTTCACACACATACTTCACCGTAATTGAGTTGTTGGTGATTGAAAGATTAGCTTGAGATATTTTTAGAACTGACTCTAATGAACCATTAGCATTGTTAGCTAAATGTTAGCCTCTAGTCTGCTTAACCTAATATTAAAGTGAAACAAAAAGATGGCGTGGTGTCTGAGGGGTGCAGGAACTAACTTCTGGGTCGCTCCTGTTTACTGGCTTCAGTTCTTTAAACAGCTCTGAATCTCTTGCCTGATGGAGTCGAATGAGAAATGCACAGTAGCTTTAGCTCAGCGCAGACTCATCAACCTCACAAACTCACAGTGGAAACGTCTACTTTGTCGTTTTAAAGGAGAAAAACTGACAACCAGCCGGCTAAGAATCAAATCTGTTTCAGTAAAACCTTCCCTCCAACATGACCGAGACAGTAGACGGGTCTGTGATCATTTCATTGTAAAATTCTTACATATTGCTCCATTAAAAAGTTTAGATTCAGGGCTTTTAAAGTAATTTAACAGAGATTTTATCTGAAGTACAACTGCTGTGACTCCTCCAAGAAATGAAAACTCTAGACAAACGTTCTATCTCCATTCTCTGCAGCTGGTTCAGGGTTGTCATGATTGCTAGATGAAAGGGCCTTCGCCGAGGTGGAGCTGGGAATAAATAAAGGCCAGACCGTCCAAGTTCACAGCTGCTTGTTTCCGGTCTACCTGGTCGACGAAGAACCCAGCCTATGTCGACCAGGTAGACCGCTTCCTTGAAGGGTGCAGCCTGGATTTGGACACACCCATGACTTAGTGATAATCAAGAAGCATGACGTGGTCGTCTGTAGATGATCTGTTAAGGTGTTGTCTTACATCTCTAATAATAGCAATAGCTAGAAAATCCCTGAAGAAATTTTAAAAAGGGCTCTGCCCGCTGACAAAAGAGATGTGTTAAACAGACTCATCATGATATTTGGGTGACTTTGGGATGAGCAACCCTAAATCATTAGGTTTAACTATTAATAACCTAATTAATAATAAAACACTTCTATCTTTGTTCAGTTTTTTCCAACCTCACACTTACACTAAGGAAGAAATTCGTTATAGTCATAGTTAAGCTCAATTTCTATAACATAAATTTAAGACGTTTTAATTGAGACGATAACAACTTGTTGATAAAAACATTTAGAACAAAAATTATAAAAGAAACATAAAAACACAAACTAAGTATAAAAATGGACTTCAGACGAACGTCTCCGTCCAGGTTTGAGACAATAGAGCTGTTAACGTTTTTATTCAGGTTTATAATTCTACATGTTGGGGATTTTTAACTTTAATTTTCCAGTTAAACAGATATGACACATGACCACTAGATGGCGCCAACGCGCCGAGCTGGGATGAAGAGTGAAACCGGAATAAAGCTGTTGAAATCCGTTTATTATCAGGTTTAACCCTCCCGCATTGTTAATTGGGTCAGATGGGCCCCGGGTGTTATTTTTTTATTTTATTCACCTCTTCACCCTTGCCAAGGGTCACACCATCAACACTAAACCGCTCCTGTCCTGGGGTCACCTGATAGGACAGGGGAAGGGTTAAACTTCACAAGATTTCATTCACATCAAATTGAACAAAGATATCAGATTTGTTTAGAACATCAGAAATCAAGTCAGATAACACAACGAGGTTATTTTTCTTCCAACACCTACTAGAATAAGATCTCAGGTGTTACGGCCCAGCTGACCAATCCGGGTGTTTTATGTTGGTTCTGTAGCACACCCTTGTCTTAACTCAGCTCTCATTAACGCGGCTTGTCCCACTTTTTCAAGTTAAAACATCTTAAATAGACTCATTGGGTTAGGAAGCTGGGCCAGACGCTCACGTAGTCTAAATGATGCTTTTTAGGCTAAAGAGAAGAAACTTCACGGAGACTATATAATAGAGACGTGGAGATGTGGAGCAGCACATACTTTAATATCAAACAGCTGTGATGAAAACAAATGTTAAAAACAAAGACCTCAGAACGAAGTTTTAATCGTTTTCTCTCATCTGCTGGTATTCTAAAAAAGGCCTGGCCTCAGGGCAGCTTCGCCAAAGAGACTCGACTCGATCTCACAGGATTCCCCTGGTTAAATAAGGGTTAATAATAAATACAAATACAGTAAACCTGGCCCGTAAAGCTGGGCAGCAAATAAAAAATAACAACAAAGAGCCTCTACCTGGTTAGATCTTTTATTGTGAAAGGGCAAATGTTTTTGGTGTGTAAAATTGGTTTTAATTTGAAAGTATTTGCCGTGTGTGGAGATTATTGCCATACCGATAATTTTAGAGATAATTGATACAAATATAAACGATGAAATCACATCATGATCATTGTATGATTAAGTGCTATATGAATAAATAAATAAATAAATAAATAAATAAATAAATAAATAATCTTGAGAACATGACTTGATGAGCAATCTTCTTCACACTAAAATCCAAACGTACCTAAAATGAAATAAAAACTTTTCCAAACACTTTCATTCAGTTGTATGAATGAAACCAGCATTTCTCATGCTGATAAAACCCAAATCCACATTTTCATACGCGCTGAATATTCATCCAGCCAGATCTAGGTGATCCTCCCCTGCGCGCTCTGCGCGCTGCGTTCTCGCTACTCCTACTCCCGAAGCCCAGCCCCCCTTGATCCCCTTCGTCCATTGGTGTCTTCAGGGTGTCTCTTCTTTCCTCCCGTCCATAGGTAGTCCATAATGAGTGTCCATTGGCTTTTATTAAGGCTTGCCCCCCTCCCACTGGCCTGCTTCGCCCTGCCCATGTTTTCTGTGTCTCGGTCCGTCCAGCGCCTGACGTTCAAGTTCGAAGGAACGTCACGTCCGCAGTTGAACTTGCAGCTAAGGGGGCTTCACCGTCCCCCATCACTCTCTCTTTGCGCAGAAGTCATGAAGAGCGCCGCACAGCCCGTCGCGCGTTACGCATCACGCTCTGTATGATCTCGCCTTCATTTCCTCCTGTCTGGATGACAGACGCGTGAATGAAGATATTCCATTTGGAGTCTACCTTTTAGGAACGGATTTCCCGATGTGAACCCAGCTGAGGAGCCGCCACTAACCGACCATGTCTCGCCGCAAGCAGGGCAAACCCCAGCACTTGAGCAAACGGGAGTTTTCGCGTAAGTGGGAACAAACGGCTTTTTACCTCTCGGAGGTCCACTTCTTTGTTTGTTTATGCTTATTTTCCTGTTCGGGGGGGGGGGGGGGGGGGGGGTGGACTTCCCTGGGGAATGCGCGGACGAGGACGCGGCTGTCCGGTGTGAAAACCTAAAAAACGCAGGTTGTTCTCAGCTGAATCTTCCGGTGGAAGTTTGAAAACAACGTGACAGAAAGCTTTGACTGGAGTTAGTGAGCGACTCGCTCAAGGTTTCTTTTAAAGGGCACGCACGCGCTTCGTGAGCGGAGACCTTTGGTTGAATGAAGGCAGCGCGGACTCACCGCTGCGGTCATTCACTTCCAACTTCCAGGGCTTTTAAATCCCGTCCTTACTGAACATTTCCGCACAAATGTGCGGCTGTTTGGACACAGAAGTTGTGTCTACTCCCTCCTGGAAGCGCAGGGGCGCGGCGTGCGGCACCTGGAAAGGAAAAAAAAGAAATGAAATTTGATATTTTACAACAAAATCCTCATTTAACGTTAGCCTTCAGTGTCTTTGGTGCATTTCCATAAAGATCCGCGCATGAACCTGTTTGGAGGGGGCAGCAAACGTCAGAAATCTCGTTTTACGCACGTGGAACAAAACGCAGGCTGGCTCTAGATTGGAGCTTTTACGCACTGTGGAGATCCTTAATGAAGGGGGTAACAAACGAGACCAGGAAGCCCCAAACTGCCTCACCAGGGCTCCCCGTTCGCACGTGGAAACATCTTCTAACGCTCAGGTTTTCGTTTCGTCGCCAGAACGTGATAGAAGAAAACCAAAACTGCGTTTTGAAGGTTATTCTGACCATTTGGGCTTTTGTTGGTGTAGATGTGTTCCTGCATGCTGCTGAAGATTTCCTGCTCATGATTCCTCGGACAGCTGTGGGGAGTGTGGCCAGTGGGGGGCGTGCCATGATTGTGGTCCTATGGCCCCCCTCACCAACCTGAACTTGATCCACTTCATCCCTGTTCTGCTTAACCAAGCGTGTGCAAAGGGTCGTTTTAGCAGAAATAAGGAATTGCATTTTTAATGTTTGGTCCTTTTTTCAGGAGAGAAAAACAAAACTAGACATTGAAGAAATCCAAACAGCATTGAGGTCAAATTGTTCCAAAGATAAGCTAAAAAATCGGAGTAGATGGGAACAGTTTGCATCTGTAGGATTTTCAGGCTCATCCTGGAGATAACTGACACGGTTTTCTATAAAACAGACAGTGTTTGAAACTGTGTTTTGCAGAAAAACGTGCATTAAATCCGTCCCTTTGGCCTTTTCAGAGTGGCGTTATTGATCCGGTGTTAATAAAGGGACTGCTGTTGGTCTAAAATGGCAAACAAAAGGAGGCTGAATGATTTTCCTGATGATGAAACCGACGTGCTGCAGGAGCCCGGTGGGAAACTCCTTCCTAACCTCCTTCAGAAAGCAGCTGAAGACTCACTTGTTCAAGCTGGCTTTTGTATGACCGTCTTCACCACTCTCTCTTTATTCTGCTCTCCCCACCTATTCCACCTTCCTCAGATCCACTGATTTCCCTCTTTCCTGTTCACTTTATCTCTCTTTCTTAACATTTTTAATCACAATTGTCTATTTTTGCTCATTTTAAATATATTTTTAAACATTTTCTAAATTCTTTTTAAAATATTTTTACAATTTTTGTTTTTGTGAAGCGCCTCGTGATTTTTACCTTGAGAGAAGCTATAGAAATGATACTTTCTTCTTCTTCTTCTTCATATTCTGGCCCAGTGAGAAAAGAATCATGTTTCTAAAGTTATTCAGAGCCGTCTGGCTTGGCATCAGAATGAGATGATTTGGTTTGACGAGAACGTTTCCTCCTTCCCCGCCTCACCTGTCTGCGGCCTAAGCCGGTTAAGATAAGCTGCGGTGAAATCGGGCGCATTCCTTCATCTTTAATGCAGCTGAACACACGAGTACCAGGCCCTATCTCACCACCGTCTCGTCTGACCCCGTACAGAATTAAAGGCTGAACCGGCGGCGAGAATTCATCACATCTTATCTCGACGTCTCAGTCGGGGCGCCCGATGTCGTTTACCACGCGGCTAAGATTCCTTCCCTGTAAACCGCTCCCTCTCTCCTCTCTGCGGCACTTCAGGGACCTACTCCACATCCAGCCCCTCCATGTCTCACCTTGGTTCACAAAGATCCCAGCACTTTTAACGAAATGGGGTCCAATCATCTTGAACTCAAATTAGAATCTATTTTTTGATTCTCAGAGGTGTTAGGTTCATTAAAAAAGCGAGATTGGCAGCACAATAAAAGAGGGTCAAGCAACTTAATCGTTTGACTGCTGCCTGCGAGCTGAGCATGTCAGTCCTCATCGAAGCTCTTTTCACCTCCCCCCCTCGTGAAAATGTCACATGCACGGTTTAAAACTGACCCTATTCCTGTAAAACGTGTAAGGATTGTTGCAGCTTGAGACTCAGACACTAATAAAACCTTTAAATGACAACTGATTTCTCTTCTCTTGTGCGCCCCTCCAGCTGAGCCGCTCTCAGGTGTTCTAGCAGAAGGAGACTCTCAGGACTCCCCCAGGCTGGGCTTGGCTCAGGGCGACCTCCTGAAAGGGGACCAGGACCTGCTCACCTGCGGCCAGTGCCACACCCGCTTCCCCCTGGCCGACATCCTGCTGTTCATCGAACACAAACGGAGACAGTGCCACGGCACCCTCTGCGGGGACAAACCTCTGGACAGGCCGCCATCCTCCCCGCTCGCCTCACCCCTCTCCACATCCTCATCGCACTCTCGAACCCAGCACCCGCGGAGGGCGCGCCACCCCGTGGAGGTGGCGGTCCAGATATCGCTGCTGGATGAGGATTGTTTATCTGCACCTTTGCAAGGAATAATCCCCAAGCAGGAGAACGCTACAGGTAAACGGACGAGCAGCGAGGGAAAACCTTTTCTAGGGTTCAGGTAGAGTTTATTCCAGGAGGAAACAAATGCTCCCCGAGATGTGCTTGCCTCTGCTTCTGGTAATTTGGATGTATAAAATCTGCATAAACAGGGTGTAAAATACCCGCGGCTGCGCTTGGGAACCGTGAGGTTTCCCAGCTGAGTCATGAACCTAAATGAAGACCAGCCGTCCTGAAAACGATTGTGAGAACGGGGAAACATGTGGAGACAATGAATACACACACACACACACACACACACACACACACACACACACACACACACACACACACACACACACACACACACACACACACACACACACACACACACACACACACACACACACACACACACACACACACACACACACACACACACACACACACACACACACACACACACACACACACACACACACACACACACACACACAGGGAGATGAGTTGGTCCTGCCTCACAGATGTGCTCCGGCGCTGCGTGGACCTCTGATGTGGTGCTCGGAGACGTGTCCCCGGCCCTTTCTGGCTCGTTACTCTGTCATGCTTTATCTCTCTGCCCTCAAATATGCGCCTGCAAAGACTCGCTCTGATTCTAAAATAAAAAGCGATAGAGAAGAATGTAATTATCTGTCAGTGAAGAAGTGTTTATTTGAGGAACTCTGCAGCCACTAATTGTGGGTGTTTTGCTGATTTGAGTGATGAAGGACTTCCTAAGGCATCTTGCCGGTTTGCCGGTCGTCCACGGGAGCCAAACGAAGCTGCAGCGACAACACGAGTGGCTGTGAAACATGCAGCGTCCCGTGTGTTCTGATTTGTAGAGCGGGAGGGAGGAGGGCTGGCTCTGACCAGCACGTTTGAATGTTTGTTCCGTTCCTTAAAGAGCAAGTCACCCCCTGCCAGAGTCTAACTCCACTCTCACTTCATGTTTGAAAAATGCAACAAATGCTGTTGCCTGGCACACCGAGAAGGCGGAGCTGCTAACAAATACACACACACACAGGCTCACGACAGCATTGTGACATCATAATGTACCAGTTTACATCATAGCATACCTCTTAGCCAATAGCAGTGGCAGATTTAAATTCAAATACAGTGCAGAGTTTTTACCTGACAACGGCGCAACACTGCCAGTTTTAGGCAGAATATTTAAATTTTAACTAAGATGCACTGAAGTGCCAAATTATTGACGACACGTGTCTGCAGCACGATTAGACACTCGTTTATTTAGTTTATCAGCAAAAAAAAAAGTTTATTTGGGGGTGACTTGCTCTTTAAAGGCACTAAGCGCGAGTGCCAGTGTGCTGATTGTCTGGGCAGTTGTGATTTCACTTGAAGCCAATCCAGGCTAAACACACGAGAAGTGCTCCATCACTCGCTGTGCTGTAGCGCGTTAGCTGCTGATGTGGTCTCATGTTGGTTAGGCAGCCCCCGACACACACGCGCCTCTCGGCCCTGTCAGCTGTTCAAACATGCACGTCTTTGCTCCTTTAGATCGTCGTGCAGCAGAGTTCCCGTGACAACAGCAGGTCGGCGTTATTTTTCCACTGGAACGGTCGGGATCGGCTCAGCGGCGAACGCTCAGGCGCCTGGTCTGATTCTGCGTTTGCAGATCAGCAAACTAACAAACCTGGTAGCATTTCATAATTTTTCCATTTTGGGTGTTGAGCAGAAAAACGCCGCCTCTGTGCTGATGGGGCTCCGCATCAGTCACATATGCAGACGAGCCCGGCCCCCTCCACCTCCACCTCGGTTTTCTGCATCCCAGATTGATGGATCCAAACTGGCAGTGCCAGCGAGCCACCCCGTTCTCCATATGCTAGCTGCCATGTTCTCTTACCCTGCTCAGTCAGAGTCTGACACCGAGCTGAGGCATCTCAATACACACTGCCCCCCCCCCCCCCCCACTCGCCTCATTCCCAGCCCATTCCTGGGGAGTGTGTTATCTGCTGCAGCCCTCGCTCCCCACCCACCTCCTGAACTATCATTTGACACAGATGGGTTTCCATACGAACAGCAGCTTATAAAGCTGAGGTTCTCGGTATGGGTTGGGGGTTCTGTAATGGACCCGGAGCTCTGACGGGAGCCGTGCCTTTGGGTCTCTGTCTAAGGGACAGCTGAGGCCGTCTGGGAGTCTGACGACTGCAGCTGGGGTCGGGGTCTGCTGTCTGGAGCTGTGGGCCGTTAGCAGAGGGCCGAGCAGCCTGCGCGCCGTCATTTGCATGATAAACAATGTAAGATATGCATGGGGACGTCGGAGCTTGTCTGCAGATTATGGATGGCCCAGAAAGAAAGCAGACGATGTTTTCTTAACCCACGATATCGACACCAAGGGATAAAGCCGGAGCGAAAACAAATTCTTATTTTAAATCAACTAACACGGCTCACAGCTCGATCGTTTACTGGAGCTTTTCTTTGTTGAGATGTGAGATGATGAATCCCGAGCATACGGGCCTGCTCTGCCCCGTGCACCGTAATCTACCCATCCTGGATTGCTTAACGTGGAACCACACCGTTCTGGTTCTCTACTTATCCACAGCAGCGTTGGCGCCTCTCGCCAGCGTAGCCACGTGTGCTAATGAGGCCGCTGTAGCTGTGCCAATCGACCACCATCTCACGCTTTGCTTCTCTCCAGCGCACCGCCTGCATTGTTACTTGGACTCTGAATCAATACCGAGTCAATTATGGCAGCCCCCCCTCTTCCCCCCCTGTATTTTTCCTCCCCACGAGGAGGAAAACATCCTAACAGCTGAGCAATATTTCTTTTAACACCTCTCTCCTTCTGGTGTGTTTTCCTCCTGCAGCCTGCTGTCCCGCTCTCTCCTCCTGGAAGTGGAGACAAAGGTGTTTAGCAGGCTCTCTGCTGGCACTGTGCCACTTTCCTCCACCCCCTTTCTCCGCCAGCCACACACACACACACACACACACACACACACACACACACACACACACACACACACACACACACACACACACACACACACACACACACACACACACACACACACACACGCATGCACGCACACACACGCACGCACACTGTGTGGTACTGTTGTTCTGGTGATCCCTGATCGATGCTGTGAAGCCGTAGATGCATTAAAAACCAGCTGATGAGTCAACATAACTCCGACAGAGGCCGCCGTGCTCGCTGGCAGACATTTTGGATGAATACGTGACCGACGCCGTTTTCTTGTTGTATTCCAGAGCCGAACAAACCCTCGAGTGTAGTCGGAGGAGGTTTGTCAGCCTTTGTTGTTGGATTAAATGTTAGGACTGCCTCCGACGGCTGTTTACATGCTGAGCGCGGATGTGGTGTTGATGCATATGTGTGTGTACGTGTGTGGTTTTGACCACTTTACAGCGTCGTGTGTGTGTGTGTGTGTGTGTGTGTGTGTGTGTGTGTGTGTGTAATAGGAAAAAATCCGGTGTGTTACCGCTTTACTACTCTGGGCATGCAGGCTGAACATGAAAGAGGCTCTGACTTGGCAGGCCCGGCCCGAGGACACCTCTCTCTGGACCGTGCCAGGCCCTACTTGGCACGCGGTGCTGGGCCTGGAAGACGGCTCGGGACAGTCAGAGTATCAGTCTGCTGGACTCGTGAGGTGGCAGCTACATGTTTGTGAGTGACAGCAGCAGTGTGTACTTTATGGGTAGTGGTGGAGAGCGTGTGTGTGTGTGTGTGAGTGTGTGTGAGTGTGTGTGTGTGTGCGTGTGTGTGTCCTCGGGGCTCCTGGCTTCAGCTTTCTGCGTCTCTGTTTGTCTTCTAACAAGCCCGGCACCACAGCCTCGGGCCATTCAGGTGGAGACTAGTTGAAGTATGCACACAAACACGGGGTCGCACAAACACCAGTCTCTTAGAAACACACACACACACACACACACACACACACACACACACACACACACACACACACACACACACACACACACACACACACACACACACACACACACAATGCCCGCTCATAAACACACACGGCGTGTGTGTAGCTCCCTCCTGAACCTGTGTGTGTCGGAGCTGTGGGGGAGGCTCCATGATGTGTTGTGAGTTGATGAGATCTGTCAGAAACATATGATCCTTATTTTAGCCCCCCACCCCCCACCCCCCACCCCCCGCTTCCCCCTCGAGCTCCTCTCCGCGCATCGCTCCAGTGGTTCGCCTTGGGGAACTGGAAACTGAAAGTTTTGGCTACATGAGCTTGTCTGCACCTCTTAAAGGCCTCTAACTTCTACTCTGGAGCTCGCGCTCGAGGACTTGGCTGCAAGCCGGTTGGACACCCTGCCCCGTCCTACCCCCTTTACCTGCTGTCAAACCAGGCTACGCGGCAGAAACAACCTTGTTTGTCCACGGCCACGTCGCGCGAGCTGAAAAAATATCCTCAGAAATGAGCGCGTCCTGCCGCCGTCCTGTCAATAGCGTGGCAGGCAGTCGCATCTCAGGGTCAGGGGTCACCTGACAGCGTCAGGGCCTGTCATGCCAGCCCCGCGGCTTCACCACCTGCAGGTTAATGACTTTATTTTTAGACAGAACAGAAACTGCAGAAAAAAGTGCATCTGCTGCAGCTGCAGCTCAGGAAGTGACAGATGGGAGCAAAAAGGACAGATGTGATATTTTAAGAAGAAAGCCGGTTAGCTGAGGTGAGAATGGGAGCAGGTTCAGAGGAAATGGTTTTTTCTACTTTTGTTTCTTTTATCATTGCAGCTGCGATTCACTGTTTATGTTAATGAACCTGCTGTGGTCTCTAGTACACACGAAGGCCTTATGAGTCGTTTTCTGTGGAGGGGACGCTCTGGCGCTGCGCTTTCAGGAAGTAGAAGTTAGCCAGAGGAGCAGAAAACTGCATTAATTAATCATTAATATTAATGACATCATCTCTCCTCTGATTGGCTAAAAGCAACACGACTCCACCACTGACTCTCGTTGCTCTGCAACGTTGATGTATTATCTCCACCAGTAACACAAGCCTGGAGGAGTTCTG